GTATATATATTTGTATACTTTTCTTACAAGCGGCTTTTACTTTTGGAGCGCATTAATCGGTGCAGCGTTAAATGTTGCATGCAACGTCGGTCTTGTTCATTTACCGTTTGACCGTTAGAAGCTCGTTAACAAAAATTTATGATAACTAGAAATTGCACTGATTTTGCACATATATTAATGTAAACATATTACGCACTATTTATGTATGGGCATACAAATAAAACATACATACATGTATGTATGTATGTTCCGCTCAAAAGAATAAATACTAAACACACTTTTTTCAAAAACTTGTATCTAAAAGAATTACGAAGGTAGTTGAAACATTCAGCCTACATGAGGAATAATTTTTAAATGGGCGGCTGATCGCTTTTGCTGGGGCTCGAAACATGCTAAGCTGTAGCAACACTCATTCTTTCTTCTTCTACATTTTTCTTTGACAGATCGAAAATCCCGCGATCAAATCAATCACGATGACAAGCCGCTGACGGCATATCCCATGTGTTCTAGATATGCTAAGTTCCGAGTAACTAAAATGACACAGTGAGGGTATTCACATCTACTGTGCCTCTGAACACTCCCAATGGAGTTTCGACGTCGAACAGCTGAAATCCCAACGAACAACCGTCGGTTTTTTACTCGGCTAGCAGAACGGCTTCTGATAGCTGGTCGATATAAGAGAATTATGGAATGTCAATTCAAGTTTCCCTCGTGCCGCAGTTTTCTTTTCGAAATTTTATGAAAAGGAGTAAGAGCAGTTAGAAAAAATAATTGTCTATTTATTTATATTTATATTTATATTTATATTTATATTTATATTTATATTTATATTTATATTTATATTTATATTTATATTTATATTTATATTTATATTTATATTTATATTTATATTTATATTTATATTTATATTTATATTTATATTTATAGTTAGAATTATATAAAATACATTTTTTTATTATATATTTTATTTTATTTATATATGAAAATATTCTATATATATACATATAAAAGTACTTAAGCGCAGCGAGCATGTCACTTAAATGCCAATTTAATTTACTTAATTGAATCGAATCGAAGTGAAACGAATTGAATCCATCTAAACGGCATTGACAATTGCATAAGTTCATATGTGTCGCACATATATGTATATGTAAGTACGTATAAAATTACTACTTCGCTCATACATATTACGTACAAGCGCATAAATGGGTATAAAAAACATGTATAAAACGAAGTCAAATGAATGAAGAGTGATCTTCGAGCCGAGTACGCTTATGAGTACATGAGCGAAAAATTCCAAAAAAAAAAGTATCCAATGGTGTGGGCAGCGTGTGAACTTAAATAGTTTAATAATTGATAATGAATTAAATTTGTTTTGTAACGGTTTTGTTAACGCTGAAATAATTAAAAATTTGTAGTTGCAATAGCAATTCATTTTAAAACGCTCTTAAAGCTATAAATTGAATAAAAATTATAAAATATGCTTATATGTATTGAACAAGTACAAGTAATGTTGAAAATATGCAATTTTTTGTTTGAAAATCATTTTGAATTTTTATAAATATATTTTTTTGTGTGTTCAATTTCTTTATATTATCGATAAATCTAATTAATTGTGTTTTGTCTAAGAAAATACATACATATGAGCTGACTCAAAATTAAGACTCAACATAAAACAAATGCAGCTTACGGCTATAAAAATATTTGTAATAGTTTATGTATATAATGCGTAGCTAATTTTTCATAAATTATTTTTTAAGTTTTCTATTTTTTTTTTTTTAATAAGAAATGTTTAATTGAAATAATAATTAATGCTTTATTTTAACTTAATTGTAAATGTGATAAGCCATTAATATGAAGCGAATACTCACCTGTGGAAAAAGGGATGCATTTGGGCGAGAAACGCACACACGCAAACGCTCAAAAGCGTGTGTGTGTCATTTTGAGGCTGCTGCTGCTCCTGGCGTTGTTGCTGCTGCAGTTTCAGTTTCATATGCACAGTTAAACAAATATACATATTTAAAAATAGATAAATTAAATCTCATGTTATCGCTGTTGCTGTGCTGTTGTTGTTGCAGTCATGCACCAACCACTGAGATACCACCAGCTGTGTTCACTGACTCGATTGGCAAACGTTTAACGAAGCGAGCACAGGGTGTATCCCGGTAGCAGATGCATTGAAATTGAAATGTTGCAGAGTATATTTTTTCGTTTTTTATGCATTTCTTTATTGATATTTTAATGCTTTCAAGCATTTTACGAGCTATATTTACACCAAAAAAAAAAAAAAAAAACCAACACAAATGTGTCTTTGAGTGTGTGGGTGTGCTGCAGCAGCTGAAAGCAGTAAAAGCTTTTAACATTTTTCCTACTATCCTTTTTCTTCAAGAGTTAACATTTCTTTCTTCATTTAATACACGCTTACATATATCATTGCTTGTCTGTCTGTATTGTTCTGCATATACTGCATTAGCTAGGACACGCACCCAAAAGTAATTGTTGTGCTTTACAGAAATTGAAATTGGTATGAGCTTTTCTGCAGTGCTCAGTTGCTCTGTAAAAAGCATAACAGTCGATCATGTGACTTTAATTTAAATTTAATTAGAGTATTTTTTAACTTCAAATATTGTGGTTTGGTATGAAATTATTTATTAATTTGTCCGATTCTTTCACTATCAAACGTTAAGTTCATTTTATATTTAATATTATATTACAATAAAAAAACACAGTGTTTGATTTATTAAACTATTTTTTTTTAATAGAAAGCATTTTAAGTTACTAGCTTTTGGTGGTAAATTTTTTAATATTTTTTCTTTTAGTTTTAACCTACAAAAGAACGATATGAAGGCCACCGAATTGCATTGAAATCAACAAAAAATAAGCTGCTTGGGTTCACTTATGCGATGTGAGGTGAACATGCTTAAAGAATATCTTACTTGAGTAAAATATAAAAACTGCTCAGTTATGAGTGAGTTGTTGGGACTTTACTTAACGAGCTTAAAATCTTTCGAAAATATATTTTTTTTTTTGCAACAATAATGTAATAATAAAGTACAAGATGGTGCATTTCTAATATATTTCATAATTTTTTGATAGAATTATTTTCTAGTAACTGAGAAATTCGCTGTGAGCACATAACAAAGAAAAAATTAGCGAATTACGGTGTTCCTTATTGAGGAAGGCTCAGAGGAATATATTCCATGTCAAGTTTGTATGTACAATATATCGAATCTACAAATATATAAAAATAATAAAAGTTGAAACGAACCAGCAGGAAAAGAACTTGAAGCTTTTTTATTTTATATTCCTAAATATATTATTTCTGCTATTTAAATATTATTCTCTCGTTATTAAAAAAAATGTTGTTTTAAGCTGGGGGGCTTGGTAATAATCTAAATATGCTTAATTTTTTGTTGATTATTATTGTTGCCCTTGAGGCACCCTATACTCGTAGAAGCCATAGAGTTTAAAAAAACTTGCGACAGTTTGCGAGCGCAAATGGGAGAATCTAGTTCAGTTATGAGCTCCAGGATTACCAAAAGATTCAAAAACTATATTTTTATATTACCAAGGCTTTTGGCGTAGAGGAAACGTCGTGCTGATTATCAAATAAATAATTTATTCCTTTCAGATTGGTATATTTGTATATTGTATTTCCCATACATTCCACGAAATAAGGTCGACTAAAGCTCAGCGAGACTTTAAGCTTTATTTTTAATTGAACTAAATTATTCATTAGTTTTCTAATTATTTTTATGTTTTTATTTTTCTTTTACTTTTGGTTTTAATTAATTTTTTATTTTTTTATTTACTATGTAATTTAACTTTGACAATAATTTTAAATCATTTTTTATGAGGAAATAATTTTTCTTAATTTTTTTTAGTAATATAATTTTAATTCCATATTTAGATTTTTTTATTTATTTCAAACTCTCCTACGTACTGAATGAATGTTATGTTAACTTTGGTGAAAGCATCAGGAATAGAAAATTTATTTCGATCGCCTGAGATCATGTCATTGTTAAGATATTTCAATCCATTGTTTATTAAAAGCGATCATTTTGCGGATCTGTATGACCACATTTTCGGACTTTGAATTTTCGATAGTCAATTTGTTAAAAAGACATCTAAATTCTGCAAATATCTGTTGAAACCTATCCAAATCCTTATAATCTTACATATAGCTCCTACACAACGATTTTTATTTTGGGTCACTTGTATAGTCATATAGCCCCTTCCACAATATTTCAGGTTTTAGAATAAATATAAAATATGAAATTTGATATGATCCTGAGAGGTATAAAGAAGACATCGCCTCTTTCTTAATTTTTTATAATTAATATGTTCTTTCAATGCTCTTCATACTTTTGTTTTTATTAATTTTAATTTTTTGTCTTATTTAATTTTTCATTTTGTATATAGATTTTAATTTAATTTGTGTTATTAAAAGAGATATTTAATTTAATATTTAAATTTAAATTAACTTTTGGTTTTCCAATTTTTCTTTTTATTTATACTTTTATTTATTTTAATTATTATTCGTTTTTTTTTCATTTAATTTGAGTTTTAAAAATTTTTTTTATTTTTCTACTATTTTTTCATAATAATTTATATATTTTTATTTTTATTATTTACTTTTATTTTTAATCTGCTAAAGGTTTTTATAAACATTTATTTATTTTTTAATTAAGATTTAAAATTTTCTCTATATTTATTAAATTTAATTTAACTTATATTATTAAATTTATTTAGAAATCAGTTAGATTAAATAAATTTTTAATTTACTTTTAAATTTTTTTTATTTTTAATTTTAATTTCATACAATGAATTATTTAATTTGTTTTCTTTTTGATTTTGATTTTAATTTAATTTTTAATTTTTAATTTTTTTTTTACTTTTTGCTTTTAATTTTAATTTAAAATATTTGCCATTTTCTAAAATTTTTCGCGCATTTCAGTTTAAAATAATTTAATTTTTGAAATAATATTCAATTTTCTGTGTTTTTTATCTCATTCAATTTTTTATTCAATATTTAATTTCATAAATTATTTCTTTTAAATTAAAAAAAAATTAATTGTCAAATCTGTTTCGCGGGGTTTTCGAGGTACCTTGGCTGCTGCAACACCCACACACTGTTACACAAAAGAAGGAATATACATGCATATATATAGGTACACAACAACAAAATGAAAATACGTCAGAGTACGTTCAATAGTAGGCGTTTATTGTTGATTGTAGAAACCAGAGTAAGGATACTGTTTTTAGGCAATCCTGCTTTTGTATGTATGTATTATAATTTCACTGTTACTGCCAAGTTTATTTTTGGTAGTTAATCAATTTTCATGCGTTTGCATTTCTTTGTGTTGGTTTTAATACTCGCAGCCACTTTCATTTGTTGTTATTGAAGAATACATACGGAATTTCATCACTTTTTATAACTAATATATACCACATACATATGTATATTTGTATGTATTTAAGTAAATAGTTATCACATTTCATAGTTCCAGTTAAATATGTAAAGAGTTTTCGTTGTCGTTATTGCCATAAGATTACATATACGATATACCACGTATGTAAGTATATGTATATGTATATCAGAATGCGTCACGGCGCATATGACATTAACTGCGCGTAGATTAATATACATAAAGATGTGAATCACTTACTGTCAGCGCAAAGATCAAAGGTTAACTTGCAATTGCTCAGCACACAGCGCTGTAAATATCTATATATATCTATATACGAGTATATAGTAGGTGGGGCTAAAAATGAAATTTGCCAGGTTTAAAAAGCACTCTTTTTTATTGGCTTTAAAATTTATAATTTAAAAACACTTTATTGTTTTTAATAATTTTATTTAACAGTTCTTTTTCAATAGCTTTCACACTTGACATTGACGGCATCGAATATTCTGTGTGAAGAATGCCCAATAAATCAGGCTCCTATCCCTGTAGGTGTGCTGCGTAAAAGTGGAAAATGCTGTTATCGGCTTTTGACGCTGCCTAACGAAAGGCGTACAGGCGTTTGTATGTATGGTTGTAGCCTTCAAATAGGCGCTCAATACACGCACACTCATATCTACGTATATGTATATATTGAGGTAAAAGTTGTTGCCTCCCACACAAGTAGTCAGCGCGAGGCGAATGTTGGAATTTGTACAAAAGCGCAGAGATAAGGAGACATAAGGCGATAAAAGCTCAACAAAGTGAAAGCTTTAGAGTAGTTTGAACACAGGCATGATTGCCACTTGGCATCAGTGCCAAAATTTACGGAAAACTGTGTAAAAAAAATGCCTATGGCAGATTCATATAAATATTTAAGAGCCGAAGGTGGTTAAGTTTAATTATGTTTTGTTTATTGACTTTGTGCAATTACAACTCAATAAGGGAAAAGCTTTTCATGGACTAAGTTGCCACACAGACGCAATGGAAATTGTATGGAAAACTTATGAATTTGATGAAATCTTTCAACAAATAATTATTTATCGGCCTAATGTAATGGACATGGATTTATCTTTTTCCATGCTTTTACGGTGTTAATACAAGAACTTATTTCTTGTTTAGTAAAAAAATCTTTAAAAGCCGCAGAAAGGCGCATAAAATTTTTATAGCATTTTTCTAACCTAAAATATTCTTTAAGTAATGAAAATTTCTGTTGAAAGCTTATGCATATTTTATATGTACATGATTGATATTTGCTTTCCGGAGCAAAGCCTAAATGAAAAACTAACCATGTCATTGCTCATTTTGTAATGTTAAAATGATAAATTGAAGTTTGGAATATTTTGATATTTTTGAATATTGAGTATTGAAAATCTGACATCATTATCAGCATTTGGGGTCGCTATGAGTTATTAATAATTTAAAAAAATCACTTTCAATTTAGGGATGGTTTTCACCGCTTACAACCATAAACGACTTGCCCTAGCAAAATGGCCAGACTAGGGATTCATTTTTCACTGTTTCCGAAAATGTTTAATTTTTTCCGTGTGTCAAAAATCGGTGCGGACGGTGTTATAGAAGGAAATATGAGCTTTACGTGTCAGAAATTCACTAATGTCGTACCGAGCACATAAGCGCATTGCCAATCACCTCAGAAAAACTACCAGACGGCAGCGACAACAGAGTGATTAACATTGCGTGCTGTTATTCGGATGGCCAGGGTTCGAGTCATGGTTCCAACCAAAGCCAAGAAGTTTTAAAAAACGATTTTAAATACAAAATAAGTTAAATTTTTTCATTGCGGTCGCAGTGTATTTCTTCCTCTGTGTATATTTCTGACATGACATGAAATACAGGCTCCTTATAAAACAAAAACAATCAGCCATAAGTAGGTTGCAAAGAACATCAACACGCAGACCACAAATTGGAGGAGGAGCTCGCCCGAAAATCGTAATAGCGGTTACAAAACGCCAATTATATATGTATATATCATATACAATAATATATTTATACTATGAACATAACTCGCTTAGTAACCATAATTTTTTTGTTTACCATCAATACAAGGAAGATAATTGAAATCTAAATAATGGCAATTGAAAAGCTATTTCATTATCAGGTTATTATTGTGCATTAAAATATGTGCCAATTTTTACTAGATACAGCTAAATTTTCCATTTTGCAAACTGTTTGTATGAAAATTACGCGCTCTGAAGTTATTTAAATTATTTTGAATTGCATTTAAGTGTGAAATTTGATGAAAAAGTTAACAAAATTAAATGCTACGAACGAATTATTACGCAATTTTTTATATACCTGTAATTTTGAAGGGTGGCAACCGTGTGTGAAAGCTTGAATTTATATGCATGTAAGTGAATCACCCTCTCATATGTGAGAGCGAGCTTTAACGTTCACATAAAATATCGTAAACAAAGTGTCTCTGCTGATTCGCGATAGTTTTTTCTCTCACTCTCTATTTTTTAGTATTTCCTGTTTCGCTGTTTCGTGCTTTTGCTATATGCAAACACACACACAAACACACACCCTTCATATATAAACTTTTAAAAAGTGAAATTTATTACGGTTTTTTTCACAACGATGATGACTGAATTGCATCGTCTCTGTTGACGTGTGAAGCTTTTTCTTCCACAATTAATTCAACGCCAACACAATTTTAATTTTCTGTTGCACTCTACAATCGGCTGACATTATTTATTTATACCGAAATTTAGAACACTAAGCACATAGCATTGCGCTAACCTTTGACCTTTACGTATAATGTAAGACTCACATTACACATATCTCAATGGAAAGAAATGCACTTACCTGTTTGGGTTGCCCGAAAAACTTGCAAATGAATTTGACTTCGATTTTCTTGCCAGCCACCAGCTGCTGATGCAATCGCTTAACATATGTATTTCCACTTTAAACCAAAAAAATTCACTGCCAACAAATTGTTATGCAACCGCTCGTGTCCTTGTACTCCTGTATTCTGTTGTCCTATGGGTTCCTTGGCCGAGTGTAGTGTGGACGTTGGGATTGCATGGACGTGTCTGTTTCGGGTTCACTTTCTGTTGCTGTTGTAGCTGTAGCTGTAGCTGTAGCTGCAAACGCTGGCCGCTCTCTCTCTCTCTCACCGCTCTGTTGCCGTTGCAATCGCTTTCTTCGTCGTGAAATAAATTTCAAGTTCAAGTTCGAATGCAATTTGCGCATGTCCGCCATATTTGTTATTCAACGACATACATATGTATGTACATACATATATATACACTCTATATATATAGTGTTATTATTGTTGCTTCCTTTTCTAACACAACCGCAATTGGCCAACCACCACCACCAACCCGTTTCGCTGGCAGCCTAATGCATTTGCATGCACTTACAAGTTGTCGTTGTTAGTTGCTTTTGTTGTTACTGTTGTGGTGACGTGCATATACATATGTATGTATGCATATGAATGTAAATAACATCTATGTATGGCAATGTGTTTGTAATTGCATTGTTGTGTGTGTGTGTGTGTGTGTTAAAGTATACACACAGCATATGAAATAGTGAGAGATTGTGGAAACGGCAGGGCATATACAATATGTATATATGTATACGAGTATGTGTACTGTAATGGCTGCTTAAATAATTGCTACCGCCACACTTCCCACTTGCCCTTTGCGCTAAGTCACCACAAATTTCCTTTCAAATCGCTTCTCTTCTTCTATCTACACCCTTTACTCGTCCGCACTGCCCTTCTGTCGCTGTCGACGTTCTGTTTCCCTTTACTTCTATTTCATGTCATTCATATTCTGTAGGTATGTATATACATATGTACTTCCTTAGCCACTCACGCCTTCTTTTTCTCGGTGCCAATAGATTTTTACGTGTTCATAGCATTTCCTTTCGCTTCTTGTTGTTAGTTGCTTACTTCTAATTGAATTTTCTTGTCTGCTGCAGCTGGGAACTGAAAATATATGTATATGGAAATTGAAAAATGTAAATCTTCTGCTGAATTATTTACACAACAATTATGATGAAGACTTTATATAATAGAATAAATGTACACATAAGCGATGTTTTTTCATACATAATTAATGGTATTTGTTGAAAATTAGAATTTTTATAATTTTTTTTAAATGAAATTTTTTTTCTATTATCAACAGTTGGAGAAAAATGAGACCCAAACTTACTCCTCGGCGTGGAAGGCCAATTGTATTGAATGCCGATAAAATAACGGAATTCGCCGAGTTTGGGCATCGTGCGAGCTGTCTTTCGGTTGCTCAGGACCAAAATACAGCACAAAAAAAAAAGTTTCGAATCACTTGAAAAAGGCCGGGTACACAAAGAACCTCGATGTATGGGTGCCACTCGAGCTAACGAGATAAAACCTAATAGACTTAATCGTAGAAAAATCGTCCCATTTCTGAATCGGACGGTGATAAAATGTGGACGACTTACAGCAACGTCAAACTAAAACGGTAGAGGACGAAGGATAGTGAGCTGGTGCAAACGATCTCCAAGCCAGGGAACTGGCCGATCAAGAAGATTTTGTTGTGTATTTAGTCAGATTTTCAAGGAATTATCCACTATGAGCTGCTTCTCTACGACTCTTCAATCGAAACTGTATTGGCAGCAATTGAACCGTCTGAAGGAATCGTGTTTCATCAAGTCTACGCCAGACCACACTCATCGATAGTGAATCGCCAGGACCTCCGAGAGCTTGGTTGGTAGATTCTTATGGATCCACCTTATAGTACAGACCCCGCACCAAGTGGTTACCATATATTCCTGTGTATGGCGAATAATTTAGGTGGTAAACAATTGGACTCAAGAGAAGCAAGAAAATCGATTGTCCCAAATTTTTGTCAATAGCAAAAAGGCTTTCTATGAGTGAGTTTTTCAGTGTTTAAATTGGGAAGATCAGCCTTAATCAACAATCTATGAGGCATAAAAGCGAGTGTTTTTGTGTTCCCGGAATGGGGATAAGGGCGGATATAAAAATACCAACTGTTTTTTCTTTTCAATATGTCCACCGGCAAATGCGATATAATTTTCAAACATTTTAAATTATCTCTTTATACCATCTTCAGCAAAATACACTGACTTCATCATCGGTGATCGATTTTTTATCCCTCGTTGTTTTTTAAATTTTGAAGACAGTTATTACTCACGCCGGTTCAGATCGAGGCTGTAGAGTGAGCGATTCAAAATACCAAAGCCCATATTATTGTGAAGAGGCGCGTTGTCGTGCAAAAGCCGCACAACTTTCGTCAATTTTTCCCTTCTCTTCTCTTAAAGAACACTTTTTAGTTGCTTTAATATTAAAACGTAGTATTCTCCAGTTATTAAAGCACCTTTATCTCTGCAAACGATCAATATTTTTTCTTCCCAGCTCGGAGTCTAATCTCGACTCAGGTTCATAATGCTGAACCCAAATTTCACACCCAATAACAATTCGACTCAATACGCCATCTTTCTCTTCATTACTTAGGGAGGTCCAAAACATATTCGGCACCCATCTTGCGCTGATCTTAGATATGCTACGATGAGCGTGAAGGATTTCAAAAATGACGATAACAGTATTTTCAAATTTTTGGATAAGCTCTGGCGTGATGCTTCTACCCGTCTTCCCTTTCTTATTTAAACAAACTCTGCCACTTGTACATCATGATATTTCCCGGACATAATTCGTTATGATCGCAACTAATTTTCCTTGCTTGGTAAGGAACTTTCATATTTAATAACATTTATACTAACTATGAGTCGGCGGCCGCGGTCGCCGAGTGGTTAGCATTGCATACTGCCATTCGGAAAGCTTGGGCTCAAATCTCCGTGCGATCAACATTCAAAAGTTATAAAAAGTTAAATTTTCCAATTGCTTTCGCCCTCGGCAGGGAATGTCCACCCCTCCGAGTATATTTCGGATATGAAATACAGACTGGTCATAAAAAAAACATCAGCCGTTCGGAGGCGGCTTAGTATAAACTGTAGGTCTCTCTATTTGTTGGAAAAACATCAAGTCGCAAAATTACAAATTGGAGGAGGAGCTCGGCCGAAAATCACTTCAGCGGTTACAAAGCGCCATTTATATATATGAGTCGGTGAACACGTTAGGATTCTAACGAGCCTAATCACCCTCCTATAAGCCTCTCATTACGCGTATATAGGAATACTCTTTCGTAAAAAAATCTGAAATATTTGAATGATTCAGTGTCTTGCCACATCAGATGATTTTTGGGGATTTCAAAAGGCTTTTATTAATAATAAAAATGCATCAGAAAAACTGACGCTCTGTGAATATTTGTGTCTATGTATAAAAATAATCTCAAATAATTGAAAAAATCAAAACATAAAATACTTTTATACATACATACATAGTTTTTGCAATAGAAATTTCAAGCATTTCAATGCCATTCATAAAAGCTTCTCGAAATTCCATACCCAATGAGATTTGTAAATAAATTCTTTAAATATAAAAATATTTATACAGTTGCATATCAATGCATGCCACTGAAATTAATTCATATTATGTCATATATATATACATATGTGTAATATGTACATATGTATGTAGAAACATACTCCTTTCCCTAGCGATTATGTTACAAAAGCAAATAATTCGTTCATTCAACTTTAGCTGTGCGTGCTTTTTTCCATTTGTTTGCATTTACATTTTACAATTGCATCAGTGCATTTTAAATGCACATATTTATTATGTATATACATACCTACAGACATACATATGTGCATACAGATGTAAGTATGAGGCATATTTATAGCATGTTTATGAGCATATTCTTTACGCTATTTTGAAACTAATGCTAAATTTTATTGTTTATGTTAATTATTCTCACACTTTGCTTATTCAAAGGTCAATGATTTTGTATGGGGAAATTTTTCGCATGAACTGTTATAACTAGCAAGGGGTTTCCCATAAGAGGTGTTGTTATAAATAGCCTTCTATTCCGGTAGATATCATTTGTAAAGCTGTAATTTTTTGACACTGGAAAAACAGAAAAAATGGACCGAAACGCGCTTCAACAACCCGCTGAAATTATTAAAACTCACTATAAAAATGTTAAAAATGTTGAAAATCAGGCAGTGACGGTTCGTAAAACTAAAACATTTTTCGGTCGCCGTGAAACACCTCGTGTGAACGCAAAACACAAACTGGTAGAAAAAATTGGAGCTGTTGGGGCAGGTTAGTGCTGTAAGGAAGAAAACAGAAACAGTCTATTTTCTTGTCGGCTTGGGTCCGAAGGTTTATAGAGTTAAGTTAGCACAAGCACTCAAGCCGGAAGATTATCAACAATGTCGAGTCTTTGCTTTTTGTGCTGATGCCTGAAACCGATCCGGAATTTCATCATGAAATCATCTTGCTTGGGTACTTATGTGGGACCCATTTCCAACGCGATGACTACGTCAATATATTGTTGAAGTGCCTCTTCATCCTCTGGGTTTTGTGTGTTCCGTGGTTCGGCAGCGTCATTGGACCTTACTTTTTCGAAAATGAGTAAAAGAGGAGCAACAGTTACGCTAAATTAATGTTTTTTTATTAGAATTAGATGGCATTGATCTGTACAACATCTGTACAACAATGCGCCACACAAGCAACGAAACTCCGGACCGCATTATTTCTCGAAGAAGTGACCGCGATTGGCCACCAACATCTTGTGATTTAACACGTTGCGACTTCTTCCTTTGAGGCCACGTGAAAGGTCTATGCCAACAGATCAACGTCGATACAAGATCTTAAAGATGGAGTTCGTGAAGCTATTGATGGCATACCAGCAAACACTTTTCATTTTGACAATGGAGAATTTCATTAGAAGGTTACAGTTCAGTAAGCTTGTTTTCCATTATTAATGGCCTCTCTACAGCTTTACATTGAAATAAATAACATCCGATCATTCATCACTTAAATTGTCATTTTCTCTCTCAAAATACAGGATATCGCGACGGTTTTAGGAGTTTTAACTGGTCACTACTTAATAGGATGACATACAGTGCGGCTGAGAGTTCTTTTCAGTAGATGTGGTACAAGCTATAAGAACAATAAGGAGCAAGAAGTAGCTTTCCTGGACTCCAATTTCCGTTTATAAGGCTTTTGTATTAATGAAATGTCACGATGAAACCCCTCATATTTTTCGGCACCTACAGCAACCCAGAAGGAGATACAAATGAGAGTCCAGCATATGTATTTTTAATGGCATATTACATCCAAAAGAATTATACATATAATTTCATAAGCTCCTTTACCCAGAAGTTCTGCACAACATTCACAAAACATTTCCAGGCAAGTTTCTCTCGATCAATCAGTTTGTCTTAAAAAGTTTAATCTTTTATCAGTTGACGCCTCATAACTGTGGTGCCAACTTAGGACTGTCTTAGGACAAAGTCCTTACAATAATACAGTCTTCTGATTGGTTTTGAGGAAGACAAGTTTGGGTAGGAAATAGTGGGCTTGTACTTGGTTATAATATCTTCCTTTTTTGATTCAAACAAAATCACCGAACCCCTACGTGGCGTTTTGGCTCCATCTAATGTCTAACAGAAGTCTCACATTTATCTGGAACCGCAGATTTATCTTGATTCCACTATTGTTAAGATCACACTGTTCAATTCATTACCTCAAACCCAAAAGGGAGGGCCAGGAAACATAAGTTCGGACCAGAGAAAGAGGGATGTTAAGTCTAGGTAGGGGTTGTCACTTTTTCGATGGCTTATCCCCGTCATAAGTTCGGACCAGAGAAAGAGGGATGTTAAGTCTAGGTAGGGGTTGTCACTTTTTCGATGGCTTATCCCCGTCTCGGGCACAGGTATAGCTAAAGGGGAGTTAGAGGAGTTGATTTACAGGAGCTTATACAGAGTTGGTTAGTGGCGTTTTGGCATAAGGATATGCCTCTTTGACAACTTCAATTACATTTCTAATTTTTCTAGTTTTCAATACAAGATGTGAGGCCT